GTGACTGAAGTAGGAGAAAGGGTTTAATCGCCACTCCTCCCCCACTGGAACCTGGGGGTGTCTCTCCACCTTGGCTATTCCAGAAGAGATGGGATTAAGTCAGCCCTGGTGAGGAGGAGGTTAATGAAACCCTTCTGCTTCTTTCCTCTGTCCGGGGCAGTGCGCTTCGTACAGCCCTCCCTGCCAGGCTTCCCACGATTCCCCTCTGAGCCTGGAACAGAACTCAGGAGTCCTGCCTCTCACCACATCTGCTCTAACCACTAGACCCCGTCCCCGAGCCAGGAAGACTGGCTCCTGTTCCCCACCCCCATGGTCTAACCAGTAGACCCCACTCCCCTCCCAGAGCCACAATTACAACCCAAATGTCCTGAATCTCATTCTCCCCACCCCAGCCACTAGATAGCTCCCCCACTGCAGAAGAGCCTGGCTCTGTTTTTGTGGAGGTGGCACTTTAGACTGTTATGAGATGGAGACAAGTCTGGGGACCAGAAGTGGGGCCAAAGCTCCCCAGCTTTGCATTTCGATACATATCAGATCCTGAAGGTCCGCGGGGAGAGGGAATTAGCACACCAGAAGGGAGCACTTTATAGCTTGTGTTTGGTTCTTTGCCGAGCTCAGAACATCTGCAGGGAGAAGGGGAGCTGGGCCACGCCTCAGCTCCTGGCCCTGGGGCTCTGTTCTTTGTTTGTTTGTTTTTTTTAAAAAAAGCAACAAAACTTTGCACTTTTCTGAAAAATATAAATGTACAGAAAAAAATAAACTATCCCCTATCCCAACTCGGAGCATATCAGCAAAGGGATGCCCCCCTGGGGCACGGCTGCGAAAAGCCCTAGTGCCTGGCAGTGGAAGAAAAGAAACGGTTTATTTTTGGTCTAATATTGAAGTGCAATAAATAAAATAAAGACTTGCTTAACGTTGAGCTGAGCGTGTACAGTTTGGTATTGTTGCTTTTCCAAGTGCACCCCTCGCCGAGACCAGATCCCCCTTGCACTAGGTGCTGTCCATCCATAGCCCCAAGTCCCCAGCTCCTGGAGTCGTGGGAATCTATGGCAATTTCAATTTTTCAGTTTCTAGCTCTCGTGGTTGGGGAAAACATGACCTCCTAAGGGTCTGAATGCCTTACTAATGAGGGCCTTATTATGTTCCCATGTACACAGGTGTAAATCTGGAGTCACTCCAGATATTCACTGACATCGTTCAGATTATCATCTGGTTTAGGATGCAATTTTACTCTGTCAGGATGATTTCTCTTTTCTCCCTTCTGTTCATTCCCTTACTGACTGGCCCACAGAGCCACCTGCTGGATAGCTGGCTATCAATCTATCCTCATGCACCCCCTCCTATCTAGCTAGCTAGCCCAGTAGTTCTCAAACTTTTGTACTGGTGACCCCTTTCACATACCAAGCCTCTGAGTGTGACCCTCCCTTATAAATTAAAAACACTTTTTTATATATTTAACACCATTATAAATGCCGGATGCAAAGCGGGGTTTGGGCTGGCGGCTGACAACTTGCAACCGCCCATGTAATAACCTTGCAACCCACTGAGGGGTCCCGACCCCCAGTTTGAGAACTCCTGATCTAGCCTAAATCATATATCATAATCATGGCATGGTATCTAAGCACATCAATTCTTCACTTTTGGGCTCCGTCTCTCTCTGTTCCAGGGGGACAGGGTGAAGTGAGTGAACCCCATTTTAAGAAAAGGCAATTGATTGTGCAGCAGTGTGAATCTGGAGTAACTCTGTCAGTGTGACTAACCCCCAACCATTCGAGCATCAAGAGTCCAGCCCTCCCAAAATCATGCAATTGGCTTAAAATTCCTGAGGTTTTAAAAATACAATAATTTGGGGATCCTTTAGTTACTTTCAGGTTTTTTAGCCTTCAGGGATCATGTTTTCCAGCTTTTTTCCTCAGCCACAAGGGAAAGAAACCTAAGCTAGTACACCCATTTATTGAAATTTTTAAAAGCCTTCACAATCCATCGCTAGCTTTGAGTGCTCAATAGCTGACCTTCCACTGATCTTCTGCACACCATCCATCCATCACCTCCTGGTCGTCCCCTACTACAATGACCTTCCACCGTTCTTTCCATAATAATTTTCTCAAGGTTATTCCCATCTCTATGTCTCAGGTGACCACGGCACATAAGTTTGCATCTGTTGATTTCTGGCATCCGGGTCTGCTTCTCTCCAATAATATTTCCAACATAGGCATTTGCCCTTCTTTTTTCGTCCAGGACATATGCAAAAGTCTTTGCCAGCACATTTCAAAAGCTTCAGTTGTCTTCTGGCCAGCAGCATTAACTTCCCATGATTCACATCCAGAAATTACTCTGAAAAAATTAGACTTTTTGCCAGTTGCACCTTCCCACATTTTGAGATGTAACAGTTTTTCCATATTTTCTTAAGGGAGGCCACAGCTGAGCAAGCCAGCCTCAGTTATTGATCTTACATGGTAAATCTGTAAAGATGTAGGGGGTGACTAGAGATTGACCAGAGGACTGGCTGAAGGGACCTTTTCTGCCTTTACCAAAGTAGGGAGAAATAACAGAGTGAAGTAACTATCGTACGATCCTCACATCGCATGCGAGCAAAGCTCTGCTCAATGTAATCCAGCATCGCATGAAATGAAGGATAGAAGCAAAACTACCACCCCAAGAAGTTGGTTCCAGAGAAGGCCGAGACACATGTGACCAAATCGTAAATATGTCACATCACTGAAAAATGCAGAGTGCATTCATCCATTAATCATGTGTTTCACTGATGCCCCAAAAGTGTTAGATATTGTCCCACACCCCCATCTTTGGAGGATACTGGCAGACATGGGGATTCCAAAGCCTCTCACTGAACTCATCACAAGTCTCTATCACCAACAGGCCAAAGAGCAACCAGCGGGTTTTCCACTGGGTGGGGTGTGAGACAAGGGTATATTTTGTCCCTAACATATATGCAGAATTTATGATGACAGAAACTTACTTTTTTTTTAAATGAAGGCTGAGATTCTCTTGTATTTGCATGACTTCAGGAGCTGGGACTTCAAGAAAACTCTCCAACTCACAAGAGTTGGTAACATTGCCATGAAGTCAATGGGGTTACCCTAGTATCAAACCAGTGTTCGTGTGAACAGAATCAGGAGCAGAGATGGGTCAAAACCAGAGCCTCAAAGCTGGATCCCTCTGAATTTTGAGGGAGGGGGTACCAATGCCAATCCCTTCTTCTGACCTCACCTTTGTGGCTTTGGTTCCAGGATGGGAATACTCCTAGTGCAGGCGCAATCCAGGACTGGTGTTGGCCACCCTCCTTTGCAAGCTGGAATCCCGGAGGCACAAGGGTGGTGAAATACACCTTGTTACCTCTCCATTGCCAGGCCCGCACCTCCCATGCCGATCAGCAGAGGATCCAACCCTCCCGCTCTGCAGTCTCCTTGTCCAACACCCAGTCTGGGACCCTCAGTTCCAAAAGCCTGAAACCTTCACTGTTCTACTGTAGCATCAGGGATCATTCTGCTGAGGAGGAAAACAGCTGGTTTGGGAACATCTGCTCAGCTGTGATTGTTGCCCAGAAAGTGACTATCTGGAGCCCACCTTGCAGACAAACACAGCAACAACAACAGAGCCACTGACACACAGAGCCAAATTCTGCTCTCACAGTGGTGTACATCTAGGTTAACTGGGCAAATCCAGGCTCATAACGAGGCATGCACAGAGCCTCTGTTCCCTGGAAACATGCCCCTTAATCTCTTTAGCAGGTTTTAGCCCAGTTTTGCGTGCCACTGCTGCCCACATACTAAAATGGGCTGCTCCCTCCCATTTCTTGTGATTCTTAATGACATCTCATTTCCTGGCACCAAATGCTGGAGCATGATGCCACACCCGCCCTTTGGCATGCAGCATTTGACCCCAGGGCAAAGAGACAGGCAGCCCCGACGGAGCTGGAGACCAGTGCCCTGGCACCCAGCAGCCGAATGGGGCTGTGCTGGGGGGAAAGCACTTCCGAAGAATAAAGAGGAAAGACACTGTATGGTCCAGCAGCACAGCCGAGCAGGGATGGTGGGCCACTGCGTTCGATGTTCACAGTCTGCATCAAGGCCAAGCTGTTTGGATCCGAGGAGCCTGTGCTACTCCCAAGGGAAAGGAATTGATGGGACATTATTTGAGCTACATTTTTCAAATCTATTTCTTTACATAAGTGCTGGGTGAAGCTCTGGGGTCATACAGGGATCCTGATCTCTGCAACACTGGGCTAGCAGGGGCTGGGAGCGCTGTGGAAAAGATGACTTCAGCCCCAGGAAGAGCAAGGGGCAGGCCTGGTGGTAGGCTGGGGAAGGCAAAGGATAAGTGATGAGGTCCAGTGGTGGTTATGGCACCAGCCCTGGTGATTCAGGTTCAAGTTCTGGCTGTGTCACTCGCTGGCTTCCTGTGCGACCTTGGGCAACCCACACCGAGCTTGTCTCCGTGACCACGTACTGCGCGGCAAGCGGAGGTAGAACTGTACAGGTCTTTAGCCTCTCTGCGCCGCAGGGTCCCCTCTTTAAAATGGGGGTAATAATGCTTCTCAACCTCATGCGGGGGCGGGGTGGGGTTGTGAAAATAAACCCAGTAATGGTTGCGATGCGCTCCAACGCTGCGGGAATGGGAGCCGTGGAAGCACCTCAGCCAGATAAAAGGGGAGCAGGCTCTGGCGGAGCTTCCTGCTGACACGACGCCGGCCTTGTTGCGACGCGCGGCTGGGGTGACGCCATGACTCCAGGAGGCTGTGACGGGGGAGGTGGTGCTTTGCCCCCCCCGCCAGCCATTACATGCCCCACACTGGCATTTTGGGGCCTCCCCGCCCTGCCACTTCGCCGAGCTGCAGCACATGGCCGCATTTTGAGGGGGTCCCCGCCGGGCCAGGTCACCCCACGTCGGCGTCCACGTGACCCTGCACCCCGCTTTGCCCCCCGCCCCCAGGGTCCTGTGGCCGCTTTGGGAGCGGGCCACGCGCTGATGTCACGCACCAGCAGCACTCCGACGTCGTGCGCCGTCACCCCGGCGACGCGAGGATGTCATGAGCCATCACCGTGGCAACGGTAGGACGTCACGCATCAGCACCATGGCAACGCTGGCCCGGCCTCATGTGCCCAACACCCGCGACTCAGGCCCTCCGGGGGGGGAGGGGGGAGAGGTCACGGAGAAGGTGCGAAAGCAGCACGAGCGGCCTAGCCACCCGCCCCCCTGCAACGCTCGCCCTGTGGGCGGGGCCAAAGCGGCTCCCCCATCACGTGATCCCTTCTCCAGCATGGCGGCGCCCTGGGCTGCCTCGGACGGGGGCCGGCGGGGTGTCGCGGAAGCGGGTCGGGTTGCGTGTCAATGAGGCGGGCGGGCGGGCGCTGGCGAGAAGCCCCCCCCGCCCCCGAGCGAGCGGGGAAGGTGAGGGGCTGAGCGGGGAGCTGAACGCTGGGGAAACTGGGGGGGGGGCTCTGAGGGGGCTGGCCGGGGGGCTGAGAGGGAGGCTCTGGAGGGGGTGAGGGAGGGGGCTCTGGGAGGAGGGGGGCTAAGGGAAGGAGGGGGAGGCTCTGGAGGGGGAGGCTGCGAGGAGGGGGGCTCTGGGAGGAAGGGGCTGGAGGGGGCTCTGGGAGGGAGGGGCTGGAAGGGGAGGCTGCGAGGAGGGGGGGCTCTGGGAGGGAGGGGCTGGAGGGGGCTCTGGGAGGGAGGGGCTGGAAGGGGAGGCTGCGAGGAGGGGGGCTCTGGGAGGGAGGGGCTGGAGGGGGCTCTGGGAGGGAGGGGCTGGAAGGGGAGGCTGCGAGGAGGGGGGCTCTGGGAGGGAGGGGCTGGAGGGGGCTCTGGGAGGAGTGCGGGCTCTGTGGGGAGACTCGAGGGAGAGCTCTCAGGGGAGAGGGAGGCTCAGGCTTTGGGGGAGTGGGGGACTCGAGAGGGAGCGAAGCTGGGGGATACTTTTTGTGTGGGAACGAAGAGTTAGTTGCGGGTTCTGAGAGGCAAATCCTTGTGGGAGAGCCTGGGGGGCTGTGAGTGAAGGGGTGGGAATGGGAGGAGTCTTGGGGGGATCCCTCTGAGCTGGGTGGAGCTGCCTGCCAATGGGGGCTGTGGCCCCCAAGTGCTCTTGATGAGGTTGAGGCTATAACTCCACATGGTTGCCCTGCTCAGCTTTGCCCTTTTCCCAGGGAGGCGTGGGGAGATGCTGTGGTGACTCCTCCTCTCCCTTCCCAAGCCCACGTATAAAGTGCTTTCTTCTGTTAAAATATTTTCTGCCGCTAACAGGGCTGCTCTTGCCACTTTGACCATGTTTTCAGCAGACTGTTTCTATGCTAGTGAGTTTCTTCAGAGCGCAGGAGTCAATGTGGTGATGGTTTCAGAGTAGCAGCCGTGTTAGTCTGTATTCGCAAAAAGAAAAGGAGTACTTGTGGCACCTTAGAGACTAACCAATTTATTTGAGCATGAGCTTTCGTGAGCTGAGTGTTGGTGAGAGGAAAGTTTTGATGTCCTTTATTAATTTGCAGGAGGTTCTCAGACCAGAGCACAGACGTCATCATCACAAGTTGCAGGTCTCAGCCCATAGGCTTAAAATTGAACAGAGTATATAGGCTAACCTGCTCTTTCACTCCTTGAACAAAAGAATCCCTTCAGGTCAGGTTGGAGGCATGTGGGCAAGGGAATGCGGGTGATGCTGGCTGTGCCCCAGCCTACGCTGTTCTCCCTCTATGACTAAACAGGACTTTTGCCTCCAGAGTGTTCAGTCTGGCACCTTTCACCGTTGCTTTACCAAAAAGAAATAGAGTCTCTTTAAAAGGTAGAGCTACAAAGAAACTCAACAAGAACATTTGAAGCACGGTTTAGAATGATGTGAAGGAGGACACAGATGCAAGGGGAGGCTTTATTGTGCCATACCCAGATTAAAGGAGGGGATGGTTCCAGGCACTTTCTGGCAATCTTGTAATTTACAGGAGACCTAAAGGAAGCCATTCTATGGTAATCACTGTGAAGTTTGGCTGTGAAACTGGTGGCATGTCTTTTTGTAATTTTTCTTTAAAAACATGTGCCAAGATGGAAGTTAAAATCTCTGATTCAAGTGTCCCCAGTGGATCTTTCTTTCAGGAACACAGTCAGAGAGCTACAAATATCACACAGCAGATCACATGCTTTTTTCTTTTTTTTTTTTTCCTCTTTTCATTGTAACTGTTATCCTCCCCTATGACTTGAGGCTAGGAAAACAGGATGTGGTTTTTTTTTCTAGCATTGATTTGTGGCATTAGCTACTCTGTCCAACAGTCTGTTGGTACCAAAACCTTTACATCCATTCACAGTGAAGAAGTATCAAAGATCATGAAACCAGTTGTACCATCTGTGGCCTTGTCTTCACTACCGTATGTTATTGTGTTTCTACATAATTATGTAGAGTCAAGTTAGCTGACAGCATACGTCCCATGACTTTGTGGTCAGTGTCAATAAGGATGAGTTGGAGTCAGTGTTGTTGCTAGTTGAGGTTAAACCCTGGGGGTACGATGGCAGGAAGGTCTTTATCACACAGGGTGAGAAGGATGATTTACTGTGGTCAGGCCATTGGACTGGGATTCAGGAGACCTGGCTTCAATTCCAGCTCAGACACAGACTTCCTGTGTGACCTTGGGCAAGTCACTTAACTTAAATCAGAGAGATCTGAACTGCTGTTGGGATTTGAGGTCCCTTATCAAGAGAGGGATGGAAGAATGCAGCAAGTTCAGCTGATGATTCAGGTTTTGAAAATTTGCAAATATGGGGTTAGAGGGAGGCAGATGAAACAGCTGGAGGGAATCCTAGGAATTACCCCTATAGGATGGTCTAAAAGCCTAAATCATCTAGTCAATATCTCTCAACCCTTGGCTCATGCAGGATAGCTCCCTGCAATGTATTCACTGGTATTTTATCCTGTCCAGTTCTAAACATCCTAACTAATGGGGCTTCCGATACTTCCCTTGGGGAGACTCTTCCACAGCCTGAGAGATCTCAGTCCCAGAAAGGTTTCCCTAATTCTCAGCCCAAGTTTCCCTTTCCTTAGCATCAACTTCTAATTATACACTTCTTCCCCTCCCCTTGGGCCACCCTGAATGAACATTTCCTGGCTGCACTTCCAATCATATGTCTCATCTGTGGGACTTGGGGGTCAAGTGGAAAGTTTCAGAGGGAGGCTGCATGCCCAGCTAAGAACAGAAGGGCCAGAGCGCTCTAGGAAGGAGAGAGCATCCCACAGGGTATGTGCATGGGAGCCTGAGGTTAATCTCCAAGCAAAGCCAGTTTGACAGCAGTGCAAGGCGTCACAAACTGCTGTGTGCTCGGGGCTGCGGCCCCTGCTGGCTGTCATAAATTCAGGAAAGGTGGCTCTCCCATCTGTGTCTCACTGCAAGTTCTTCTCTTCTCTCAGGTGCTTTGGAGTAGACCCCAGGGGATGCACATGATGTTTTGAGGCACCATGCTACTCACTGCATATGTCGCCTTTGCTGTCCTGCTGGCAATATGCCTGGGTTTGGAGTTCTCTGCCTGCCGCGCCAAGCTCACTGTCAGCGCCTGTACCAACCCTGTCTTCCTGCGGTTCCAGCTGGACTACTACCAAGTGTATTTCCTGGCTCTGGCGGCTGACTGGCTACAGGGCCCCTACCTCTATAAACTCTACCAGCACTATCACTTCCTGGAGGGCCAGATCGCCATCATTTATGTCTGCGGCTTTGCCTCCAGTGTGCTCTTTGGACTGGTCTCCACCTCCTTGGTTGACTGGCTGGGTCGCAAGAAATCCTGCATCCTCTTCTCCCTGACCTACTCGCTCTGCTGCCTCACCAAGCTGTCCTGGGATTACTTTGTGCTGGTAGTGGGGAGGATATTAGGGGGGTTGTCCACAGCCCTGCTGTTCTCTGCCTTCGAGGCGTGGTGTGTGCATGAGCATGTGGAACGGCATGACTTCCCGGCAGAGTGGATCCCGGCCACCTTTTCGAGGGCCGCCTTCTGGAACAATGTCATTGCGATCGGAGCGGGGGTGACAGCCAACTTCTTCGCTGAGTGGCTGGGCTTGGGCCCCGTGGCCCCATTCATGGTCTCCATCCCCTTCCTCATGCTGACAGGCATCTTTGCCATGAAGAACTGGGATGAGAACTATGGCAAGAAGCGGGCACTGTCCAAGACTTGCATCGATGGTTTGAAGTGTCTGCTGTCTGACCGGCGTGTCCTGCTCTTGGGCACTATCCAGGCCTTGTTTGAAAGTGTCATCTATATCTTCATCTTCCTCTGGACACCCGTCCTGGATCCCCACAACCCACCTCTGGGCATTGTCTTCTCCAGCTTCATGGCTGCCAGCATGGTGGGGTCATCGCTGTACCGTATTGCCACATCCAAGAGGTACCACCTCCAGCCCATGCACATCCTCTCTCTTTCTGTCTTGATGGTATTCTTCTCCCTCTTCATGCTGACTTTCTCCACCAACCCTGGGCAGGAGAACCCTTCTGAGTCCTTCCTGGCCTTTTTGCTGATTGAACTCTCCTGTGGGCTGTATTTCCCTGCCATGGGCTTCCTCCGGCGGAAGGTGATCCCAGAGAAGGACCAGGTGGGCGTGATGAACTGGTTCCGAATCCCCCTGAACCTGCTGGCTTGCCTTGGCATGCTTATCCTCCATGACAGCGACTACAAGACAGGTACCAGGAACATGTTCACCATATGCTCTGTGATGATGGTGATGGCGTTGTTGGCCGTCGTTAGCCTCTTCACCGTGGTCCGGAACAACGCAGAGCTCAAGGTGCCTAGCCCGCAGGTGCAGAATGAGTCCTCCCCGGAGCTCTGATCACATGCCTGGTACAACTGGCAACCCCCCCCCCCCCCCGTTGGTAAAGTCTCCAAAAGCTTAATACTTTGAATACCAAGACTCTGGGCTAGAGGAGAGGACTCTAAGTGAGAGAGACTCTGTAGAAAAGACAGTTGCTCTGAGGACTGGTCTTTGGGTGTTGGGGCCGGTCCGGTATGTTCTAACTTTCACTTGGAAAAACGTTTTGTTTCAAACAAAATTTGTATAAATCACAAGCAGCCTCGTGAGCGCCCAGCAAGCATAGTTTGTTCCTTCCCACCCTGGAGTGCCTGCGTCCAAAACTTCCTAACCCGGGCCTTCAAACTCTGGGAGCTCCCCGCATCCTCGGTTCTGTAGCTGCCATGTTTGGAGGTGGCGGGGAGAGGCCAGGCGGTGGGAGCACATATCACAGCTGCTTGGCCCCTAGCTTTTGCTGGGGGGAGAACAAGGAAAGAGACTCTCTTCACATGTTGGAGGTATTGACCCCAGTTACTGCATGAGCCAAACTCCAAACCCCTTCACTCTATTATTTTTTTTTTAAATAAAAAAGAAATAAAACTCTTTCCTTGGAGAAAACATCTCCTGTGGTTTTATTCCTTAGTGTCCTGAAGTCTTTCACCGTGCATGGAAATTTAATTATTCTTACGGTTGTTGGTTCAAGGGCTGCAGATCCGCCTTCGCTTCACTTGGATTTGTTGGGGCCAGGAGATGGCTCTGTGGGGGCTGCTATTGATTAGGATTTAAATTCAGGCAGATGTTAACCCCCCTTTCCCAACACTCTGTTAGACAGGAATTGAGAACTGAGTTTGCCAATGCCTGAGCTCTGTGTGTGGCTGGCTGTCATGGAGTACCTGGTTCAGGAAGCATCTGGCTCTCTGCCCCGCATGAATATTGAATAGAGGATTCCTCTCAGCAACTGCAACCTCAAGCCCAATCTGGAATCCTGATCACGCCACATTTTAGAACAGAGTTTATGACTAGTTTGGTGGCATGATTGTCTCTAAACATGGCTGCATTCCCACAGAATGTGGTTAATACTTTGGTTAGGAACCAAGGCAGCTGACAACAGTGAGTTGCCCTTGCCAGTCATGCAAGCATATACTTGTCTTCCTGTATCCAGTTCAGTAGTTTCAGGTGAAACTAGTTTGGCCTGTCCTCCTCCATCACTGAGTGCATTGCCCCACGGGTTGCTGGTGCTGCTTTTTGCCCATCCTCTTGGCACTCTACCCCTTCTACATTAGTTTGGGATAGATGCCCAGCTATTCCCTGAATGCACTAATGCAACTAGGCTTTGGCAGGGAGGTAAACAGGGGTGAGATTGTGTTGGGGATATGGGGGAGGGAAAGATGCCAGGACCCCCAATTACCATGTTTGTAAGTGGACTGGAAGAGTGTCAGAAATTGATTACAGAAACATGAATGTACGCAGGGCCTTAAGGGTGCAGCATGCTGGTCCATCTTCGTTAAAGGGGCCCTGAAGTCTTGGGTCTATAAAGAGTAAAAACTTGAAGCCTTGCTCCAGCAGCTTGCATTCCCCTATAGAGAGCGCCCCCTTCCTGTTTCATGGTGAGTGACAAGTTAATGCTCTGAAGTGCTGTGTACAGAATGACTCTTGATAATTTGCAAAAAGAAAAGGAGGACTTGTGGCACCTTAGAGACTAACCAATTTATTTGAGCATGAGCTTTCGTGAGCTACAGCTCACTTCATCGGATGCATACTGTGGAACTCCCATTGCAACTCCCCCTACTGGGATGCCTCAGCATGCGCTCTTCTTCAGTGCCCCCCTGCCTCTGAAGGCAACCCCTGTAGGATGAAGGGGAAGGATGGTTAGGACACTAGCCTGGCACTTGAGACCCGAGTTCAGGTCCCTGCTATGCCACAGATGCCCTGTGTGACCTTGGGCAACTCTTAGTCACTCTGTTCCACAGTTGCCAACATGTAGAATGGGGATAAGAGCTCTGCCCTGCCTCACAGGGGGATTGGGACATGTCCTGGATCCCCAGGAGCTATGCTACACTCCAATGTTTAAACAGTCCCTTGGAGGAGCCGCTTGAGTTGGCCAGACCCCCAAGGGGTCCCATTCTTCCTTAAGGATCGGCCATGGGGCCTCAACACCTCTGCGACTGAGCCCCGGGGCTCCAGCTCCCTTGCTTCACACTATGACCTCTGCCCAGCAAGAATGACATAGACTCCCCCTCAGAGACTTGGCCACTCTTCAGGGACCAAAGCACCTCGGCAAGGATTTGCAGTGATGCCAGGCAGCCTTTTCAGAACAGAGCAGGGTTTGTTAGTCACCTGGAACACGGCTTCAGGAAGTCCCTAGGTTAAGAGAGAGAAAGAAAGGTTAAAATGGAGTCCATTCTGGCCAAGCCAGCATGCCACACGGACCAGCTGCTGCGGACTCCATTTTGGCTCTCTCCTCTTTGTCAGTTCAAAGGGAGAGCTCTCTCCATCTCAGCCCTAATGCCCGCCACAGACGCCTTCTGGGCCATTGTTCTTGAGTTGGGGCCTTTGCTCTGCTTCCCTGCCAAGAGCTGAGTGAAAACTCCTTCTTTTTGGTTGCTGGGTATGAACATCCTGGCTAGTCAGTGGTGGTGACCCCAAGTATTCAAAAATCATGAGGTAGGCCCCCAAAAAGTATGACTGGCTTAAAAATCTTGAGATTTAAAAATAATACATTTTGTGTCCTTTTCATTTGCTTTCTGGGTTTCTGAGCTTTTAGGTCACACTGGGGTCACACTTTCAGGCTTTTCACTGTAATCGGGGGGCCAGAAACTTACTTTGTATTGTGGGTGTGCAACATGGGGATCTGGCAGGGTTGTAAACCAGCTAATGCCGTTAGTTATGTTACCACCACCACCTTAGATTATTTTAAAAGTGGATAATTTTAGAAATCCGAACCACTTGACACTTTTGATGTTCTTTGTTTAGTTTCTGCACTTTACCTAGCATGACCACTCGGTGAAAAGTCAGCTTCGCTTCCTGGTTCTCAGAGGGCCAGATTTTCTACAAAACTCAGCAGTGTTCATCCTTTCCCATTGCAGTAGCATCTGGATACTGAGCACTTTGAAAAATCAAGGCACCTCGCTGTATTCCCACTGTACACTTCAGTGTAGACACTGCCTACGCCAAATATTGTGAGACTCATGATAAAACTCTGAAAGTTGGCACTGGATTCTACATTAGTCCTTATGTCTCCCTGGTAATTGTTGTAGTTTTACATGCTCACTCTCTCGGTCTTCGAAAATATGCTTTCTTTCTGCTGCTTTGCTGCACACAAACAAGAAGGAAATTGACTTTTCAGAGGGAGGAGTGAAACTGACTCACAAAGAGCTGTCAAATGCACAACACCCCTCCAGTCAATGTTGGTTTCAGAGTAGCTGCTGTGTTAGTCTGTATCCGTAAAAAGAAAAGGAGGACTTGTGGCACCTCAGAGGCTAACAAATTTATTAGAGCATAAGCTTTCGTGAGCTACAGCTCACTTCATTGGATGCATCTGTAGCTCACGAAAGCTCATGCTCAAATAAATTTGTTAGTCTCTAAGGTGCCACAAGTCCTCCTTTTCTTTTTCCAGTCAATGTTGTTGTTACTGTTTGTATTATGGGAGCACTTCAGGACTGAGGCCCCATTATGTTAGCAGATGGTCAAACATATCAGAAGACAGTTCCTGCCCCTAAGAATTCACAATCACAATGTAAAAAGTTAAGACATATGGATAATGGGGGAAAGGGTTAATCCAGGCAAACACAGTGATCGGAGTGATGATGCAAACAGATCTCATATAATAACATCCTCATGAGCTCTGCCCACCCTCCCAATACAGTTTAAAATGTTGCCATTCTGAATGGTTTAGCTCTCAAATAGGAAAGAAAATGGTGGGTTTGATGCTGTATGGAATCTGGGGGACACTTTAGGATATTATGAATATTAATATTGTAAAATTGCAATGAGTTGTGGCAGATATGCCATGTAAGAGATCTGCAAAAATGTTATAATTTGCCAAATATGATACTCTCATTTATGTGTTTGTATCACCTTTTTATTGAGTTATAGATATGTATGTCTATGTGAGAGGTTGTCTCGCTTAGGATGCTATCTGATGAGCTGAGATACCCCTGAGCCTGTCTATTATGCCAGCCTGGATACCCTTTTTACCTGTCTTGCTGAGCCATGCTATTCTATTAAGTCTCCTCCAGCACACACACAGGAAGGGCCACACCAAACTGAAGAACGAAACAGACACTGAGATCAGTTCTGTGAAGGCTTAGCTTAAGGGACTTGTCCCCAGCACTCAAGTGTCCACCTCTTTGGGGTGCAGACCCAAAGATATACTATTAAATCTGCCTCCTCCCTCAATATGGAGGAAGGTATGCACAACCTCTTACCCCATCTCGCAATTGTGACTTGTACAACCGGGGTTATATTATAAACAAGAAATATGTTTTTTAACTACAAAAGGTGAATTTGAAGTGACTATAAGAGTTAACAGACAGAACAAAACAGATTACTGAGCAAATAAAATTAAATACACAAGCTAAGCTCAATATACTTAAGAAACAGGTTACAAAATGTAATTTCTCACCCTAGATATTGTCACAGGTAGATTACAGAAAGTCTTTTTTTTTTTTTTTTTTTTTGGTAGGAGAAATTTTCATTTTTTAAAATTCAAAAACACATACAGATTTTTATAAATATTAGAGTAGTGTCCTCCTGTCTCACTAAAACTTACACTTTGGGTGATTATCTCCACACACAAAATCTGGCCAGAAAATGTACCCTGGGTAATAAGGGGCTTTAGCCAAACACTTGGCAGCTTTGCGGTCACATTCACACGCTATTGTTTGGCATTTGTCTTCTAGTGAATCACACACAGCAGCATTGTCTTCACATTCCCAGTTATAGCTCTCTATCTTGGGCTTATAGCCTGCTTGCTCTGCTTTCCTGTAGCAGCAGTCGGGCTTAAAGCAGCACCAGTCTACTTTATCCTTAGGCCAGCCTTGCCCTCCCAGACCACAATAGCATCCATAACGTAGATAGGCAAAATGAGTGCGAAAGGCAGCTGCACTGGCCTGCAGCTGGAGATTTAAGGTATTTCCACTCACAGATTTGTTGCCGGCACCCAGTGCCAAGAGGCTAAACAACAGCTGAAGTTGGTTCGTTACCCGGTGTGCTACACCCAATAATCACAACGGGGTGGAGAAGCAGAAAAGTTTATTTGAAGCTTCAAAAAGGTACAGGGAGATTTGAATCTCAAATCCTGTACCCAGAGCAGGAAGTTACACAGGCTTTTATACATCCTTTTTCCCAGCATACTTATCCAATAGCAAGCTGCCCCAAGTATCCATATAGCCAGCCAATCCAGTTCCCAGCTAGTTCCCTGATTCTCTGTATCATTTGTTAAACTATACATAAAGCTGCTTTATTCAGCATTGTTCTTCCATATCTGCCCTGTTTGGCCTTGCTTAGTTTCAGGCAGTCTGACTCCGCAGCATATTGTTGCAGATCCTCAGCATAACTGCTGTGTGTGCCTCCAGGCGGGGGGGCCAAGGACACTTGGGCCTAGTACGCAGAGCTGC